TCAGCTACCACATTCGCTTTTCCTGGATGATAATTCAAACCGAAATCATAATCCTTTAACAATTCTAATCATCTTCGTTGCCTCATATTCAACTCCTTCTGATCAAACAGATACTTCAAGCTCTTATGGTCACTAAACACTTCAAATCTAGAACCATAAAGATAATGCCTCCAAATCTTCAACACAAAAACAACTGCAGCAAGCTCTAAATCATGCGTAGGATAATTCTTCTCATGAGTCCTTAACTACCTTGACGCATAAGCAACTACCTTACCATTCTGCATAATCACACCTCCTAAACCCATCTTAGAAGCATCACAATACACTACAAAAGGCTCTCCTGGGTTAGGAAACGTCAAAATTGGAGCCGACGTCAACCTCTTCTTTAATTTTGTAAAACTTTCTTCGCAATGAACATCCCATACAAACGCTCTACCTTTACAAGTCAACTTAGTCAACGGAAGTGACAACTTAGAAAACCCTTCAATAAACCTTCTATAATAACCAACTAATCCCAAGAAACTTCTAATCTCAGTAGCTGACTTTGGAGTTTCCCATTGCAACACAGCATCAACCTTCGATGGATCTACAACAATGCCACTACCTGAAATCACATGACCAAGAAAACTAACCTCTTTCAACCAAAATTCACACTTGGACAACTTTTCATACAACTTCCTCTCTTTAAAGACTTGCAATACTACTCTTAAATGTTCAGCATGCTCTTCTTCTAACTTAGAGTAAATCAAAATATCGTCAATGAAAACCACTACGAACCGATCCAAATAAGTATGAAAGATACGATTCATATATTCCATGAATACTCCCAGCGCATTAGTAACACCGAAAGGCATCACCGAATACTCGTAATGTCCATAACGTGTTCTGAAAGCCGTCTTCTGAATATCTTCATCCTTCACTTTAATCTGATGGTAACCCGACCTCAAATCAATCTTACTAAACACATGAGCATCCACCAATTGGTCCATTAAGTCATCTATTCTTGGAAGAGGATACTTATTCTTAATCGTCACCTTGTTCAACTGTCTATAATCAACACAAAGCCTCATACTTCCATCTTTCTTCTTTACTAACAACACTGGAGCTCCCCACGGCGATACACTTGGTCTCACAACATAAACAACGATTAGAACTCAAAATAACAATACTCGATTGTTAGACAACTAAGACTCGACGACAAGGTCGGACCAACCTTTTGCTCTGATACCAACTTTGTAACACCCCAATTCCACCCCAATCAAATTATGCAAAATAAACCAGAGTTACAAAATTTCGATCATACAAACGAATCGGGACGTCACAAATTCTTCTAACAAATTCATTGCATTCATCATGGATATATAACACGTTTTCAAAACATCGGATGAACCATCAACATAACATCTTTCATTAAATAATTCAATAACCATGCAGCGGAATTCTTCAATAACATCTTTAAATAAAACAGCAACTTCGAAACGTCTCGTAATTAATAATAATTCAATTTAAAAGTCAACAACTAAAAATCAGCAATCAAAAATCAGCAAGCGTTCATCTTCCCGAGTGTTAAATATTAGAGCAACGACACCGACTCGATCTATTGAAGGTATACGACCTTCACTCTCGATTACCTGCACGTTACCAACATAAGGGCAACATTCAAACAGAATGAGTGGAATATATAACAATATAATAAAGCGCATAATAATTAATATATTAAATTAGATCAATAATATCACTACTTCTCATATCATAATCAACAACAATTACAGCATGTATACTCATTCATCAACATCAAATACATTTCATTATTCATTCATATAATGCGACTCAAAACTATGCAAATGCATGTGGTACCATTGGAGCAGAACTCTCATCTCAAAAATCTGCCAATTAATAGAGGCATCAACAAGGCATAGCCTTCATCTCAAAATTTTGCCAATCCAGGCCATCTCAACGAGCATAAGCTGCATCTCAAAAATGCAATGTATGCGACTCATCATGAATGTAATAACAACATCCAAATCATCTCAAAACACATCTCAAAACATCTCAATTAACATCTCAAAATCGCAACATCTCAATCATCTCAAAACATCTCAATCATCTCAAAATCGCAACATCTCAATCATCTCAAAACATCTCAATCATCTCAAAACATCTCAATTAACAACATCTCATAACATCAAAATAATTTATTAAACATCATTTATTATCACAAAATCATCGAACACAAATTCATCAATAACATCTCACTAATACTCAACTGTATATTAATAGTATAGTAAGCCATCCTGTTATTCTGCTAATTTATATCGTTGTTGTCACTAATACTATTGTCATAATCCTAACAGCAACCTCTAAACATCTCATGCTCATCATTCTGTCCAAAATCCAGCAATACGATCAATCACGGGAATTAATTCTAAATCTTAGATTGTTTACTAGGATTACACCTCTTCATCATCATTTAAATCATCTAGAATAAATTTCATCGCGTTAGTAAAACAACGCTTCAAACGACATCTCAAACAACATCCTACAACTCAAGTTACAACAATTAAAAGCCAATTATGTCAAAAATCAGACCTTATGGGTCGACACAAAACCTTATGGATCGACTCATCCTGCTTCTCTTTTACAACATGGGTCGACGCAAAACCCTATGGATCGACTCATCCTGGCTTCAAAACACAACATGTATCGACACATACATCTCACCGGTCGACTCATCCTGAGTCTCACACACTCATGTAACGACACATCCTCTCTTCGTGTCGACTCATACTGAGTCTCGTAACTATTATGCATCGATGCAAGCCCTCTTTGTATCGAATCATCCTGAGTCTAACACCCTTCATGTATCGACACATCCAGTTTGGGGTCGACGCATCCTACTACAGTCTGCATAATTTTTTGCGTTTTCTTCTGTAATTTCGCTACAGGAATTATGTTACAGTCCTACAAACCTCATTATAAACATAATAATTCATCACCTAACATTAACCTATAATACTACATCGATTAAACAACATCATAACGTCATTATTCATTCAAATTCATCAAATTTTCAGCATGCATCATCCAATTCAAGAACAAATCCTTATTTTCTTCACGTTCTCCTCAAATCCTTATTTTCTTCCCACTGCTTCCTTCTTCTATTCTAACAACAAATAGTAATATAACCCTATTATTATATTATTCTTATTGGGCTCAAAACCTACACCCCCTTATTACTTCCACTCACACCATATAGGCCCACATTAAATAATATTACACTTCTAATATTATTTTACCACATAATAATATTATACCTCTAATATTATTATTTCTCCTCTTAATAAAATAAAATCCAATTATATTATAACACTCCTTCACAAATATTCCAAAAATAATTTAATTAAATATTTAATTAAATTACGGGCGTTACATATGTCCTTCTCTTGGTTATACCCTTAAGCAACAAGGCGGGCCTTGTTGCGAGTTATTATTCTGTTTTCATTCAATTTGTTCCTAAACACCCATTTAGTGCCGATTACATGATAGTCTCGCGGAGGAGGGACAAGATCCCAAACCTCATTTCTCTTGAATTGGTTCAGTTCATCTTGCATAGCTAAAAACCAATGTTCATCGAGTAAAGCGTCTTTGGAGTTTTTAGGCTCAACTTGTGAGACGAAAGCAAAATGATAACATAAGTTACTTATCTTGGACCGTGTAGTGACTCCTTTTGTGATATCTCCAAAGATATTATCGATGGGATGGTCCTTGATAGATTTCCATTCCAATGGGAGATCATTTTCATTGCTTTTAATATCCAAATCTTTTTCTTTGATAAATTCACATTCCAATGGGGAATTATTTTCATCGCTTTCAACATTTGGATCTTGTCCCACTATTAGGAGTCTCTTCACACATCAAGCTCATATCTCTGAATTTTTCGATCATTTCTAACTCTTGAACCATAAGCATCGAGATATGTAGAGAATTTCTGCTTAATGCATCAACAACTACATTTGTTTTACCAGGATGGTAACTCAAATCAAAGTCATAATCCTTTAACAATTCAAGTCACCTTCTCCGTATCATATTTCTTTCTTTCTTATCAAACAAGTAATTTATAATAGTTAAATACTTCAAATTTAGAGACAAAAATATAATGTCTCCAGATCTTTAACATAAACACCACAACTGCTAGCTCTAAATCATGGGTGTGATAATTTCTTTCGTGAACCTTCAGTTTCCTAGAAGCATAAGCAACAACATGTCTATTTTGCATTAACACACCACCAAGGTCCATCTTCAATGCATCACAATACACCACAAAAGACTCACTCAGATTAGGAAAGACCAATATCAAAGCGTTCATCAATTTCTTCTTTAATTTCATAAAACTTTCTTCACACATAACATCCTACACATAAGCTTGACCCTTTCGAGTCAACTAAGTTAACAATAATGCTAACTTAGAAAATCCTTCAATGAACCTTCGATAATAACCTACTAAACCAAAAAAACTTTGAATCTCAGTCGCAGACTTCAGAGTCTCCCATTACAACACTGCATCAACTTTAGACAGATCCACAATAATTTCACCACTAGAAATCACATAGTCAAGAAAATTCACTTCCTTCAACCAAAACTCACACTTCAACAGTTTTACATACAACTTCTTAACACTTGTAACATAAACAATACATTTTCATAAAATATATTTAAAAAATAAAAAATCTAAATTTTCTTAATAAATATGAAATATTAAATTTTTACTTATAAATTAGTACGGTATATTTGATTGAATGAATAAAGGGTTTCCACAAAAGTTATTTAATGGTTGAAGTGTTAAACTCCAAAATTGCATGGGTAGAAGAGAATATTCTGGTGGCACCTGGTTACTCTGAACAGAGTCTTGTCGCAACTTGTAATTCTAATAAACAAGTCATGAGTGTGAACTGAAAACCACAACATAACACACTACTCTTTCTTTGTTTGCTTCATTCATGATGACAACAACTGTTCACCTTTCTTCCCCTACGTGTCTCTTCAAATCCCACAATCTCAAACTCTCTTACTCCAATTCCATCTCTCAACTTCCATTTCATTCTAACCTCCCATCCAAACGCTCACCCTCAACTCTCACCATAACCTCCTCCACGCGATCACATCAAGAACGAACCAAAACCAAGATCGTTTGTACTATTGGTCCTTCTACCAGCTCACCTCACATGATTTCAGAACTCGCCGAATCCGGAATGAATGTAGCGCGTTTGAACATGTCACATGGTGACCATGCATCGCACCAGAAAACTATAGATTTCGTTAAACAATACAATTCTCTATTTCAAGACAGACTTATATCCATCATGCTTGACACCAAGGTACCACATGCTTTATTGTTATATACATATTTGTGCCGCGGTTTTAACTAATTTTCTTCGCAGGGTCCTGAAGTTAGAAGTGGAGATGTGCCACAACCAATATTGCTCAAAGAGGGCCAAATGTTCAATTTCACTCTTAACAGAGGGGTTTGCACACAAGATACTGTTAGTGTCAATTATGATGGTTTTGTCAACGATGTTGAGGATGGAGATGTACTTCTCGTTGACGGTGTGTTCTTCAATTCTTGCACAATCACTCTGTTCGATTTTATGCAAATTAACAAGCTTTTAATCTCTTCTCATTGTTATTTTAGGAGGAATGATGTCTCTTGTTGTTAGGTCCAAGACAAAAGACTTGGTTAAATGTCAAGTTATTGACGGGGGAGAACTCAAATCTAGGCGTCATTTGAATGTTCGTGGAAAAAGTGCAACACTTCCTTCCATAACTGGTATAACTCTTTTTTTTATTTTATTTGTTCTAGATCCATTGCAGAAGATAGGTACTGTTAGTAGTATGCTAATGCAGTTCCTCATGTGTTTAACTTTACAGACAAGGACTGGGAAGATATTAAGTTTGGGGTAGACAATCAAGTAGACTTCTATGCTGTGTCATTTGTCAAGGATGCTAGAGTGGTTTATGAGCTAAAAGAATACCTCAAAAGTAATTATTTTCCTGCTGTCTAATTTCCTTTTTCTGCTTGTTTATCCAGGTCTGTGTTTCTTCTTTATTCTTGTATTTATCCTTTTAAGAACACACTAATTTTACTTTTTTTTCTTCTGCAGAACACAATGCTGATATACATGTGATTGTAAAAATTGAAAGTGCTGATTCCATACCAAATCTTCACTCTATACTTTCAGCTTCAGACGGGGTTAGTTCCTTACTACATATTTTAACACATTTTGTTAAACCTAAAGAAATTTATACCATTGTGGCAGCCGTTTTTTTTTCTTTCTTTTGGTTCATATTACCATTCAACATATGAAAACTGGAATTAATTTTAGTGAGGAAAAGTGTTTACTATGATTAATAGTTCTATACTTCAATGTGAAGCCTGTGAACATAGTCCCTGAAAAATAAATTAAAAAACAAAAAGTGGAACTTTTCAAGACACAAGTAGAACTGTTCAAGAGTTGAGTTTTCTGTTTTTGTATACTTATTTTTCAAATTTTAAGTCTCGTATTCTTCACAGGACGTAAGAAGAACATAACTGCACCTCTAGCTGATGACTAGAAGCTACTATAGTTTTCCCCTCCTCTTAGTGTTGTGCATTCATGATATCTGCTCTGCATCCAAGCTGAGTGCATTTCATGGATTATAATCACTATCTTTCATAATTTAGGTTGCCATTTCATGCAAACATGTTATGATAGCTATTGTCTGATAATAACATATACCACTACTTGCATAGTTTCAGCTTTCAGGTCAAATAATGGAACGATGGTGGGTTTTGGTGTTTGTTTATTTCTGCACTATTGGTGGTTGATATTTTCCTTTTTTTCTTACAATATCAAAATACCTGCTTACTAGGTAGGTTGAAGACACTATTATGTTATGGAAAGTATGCTGATGTGCTTTCAACTCTAACAGTCATAGCATAGGCTCCGATACGGACACTAGGACATGACTTGACGCGGACACCCCAAGACCGATAATGTTAAGAACATAGGACCCCGACACCGCTATATAAATATAGTGTTTGACCTTCACTTATCCATTTATTATTAAAAAAGTTGAAAACTTTTTAATCAAAACTAATGTATTTAATCTTTAATTGGTAACATTGCTACGATACATGTTTAGTTTATTTAGATGTGTGTGAGAATTGTCCAAAAAATGTATAAAGTGTGTTAAAGTATAGAAATAACAAAAAAATTTGAAATATTTGTCTGAATTGTCCGACATGTGTTGTATGAGTGCCATATGGGTGTAGGACATCGACTAAACAAGTGTCAAAGCAAAGTCACAACTTTTTTTGGGACATTTATCTGACTTTTGTTCTGACACTTGTCTGACTTTCCGAAACATATCGTACAAGTGTCATACAATTGTCGGTCACCGCGACACGGCTACTCCTAGTTGCTGAGGTGTACATGCTTCATAGGTCATAGTTAACCTTGCTCTTACAGATACCCAAACATAATCACATTCTCTGTGAAGGCTTCGTAGTTGATTCCGATAGACTTGATAATGTATGAAAATTGATTGTACCTGACCAGAATAGACCGTCACAGTTTACGTCGAGCAAAACATGAGAATGGGAATGTCGGACTCATTGTCGGACACAGTCAGAGGGAAGCCCTCGAAGAAATCCTTCTCCACGAAACAGGGCGGGAGGCTGAAGGCTCGGGCAGTCGCCCCTCCCTCAGTCACATCAGCGAGCCCACCTTTTGGGCGACTCCTTTTCTTGCTCAACACAGCAGCATGCTGCTCAGCAATGCGGGTGCTCGACGACCCACTTGATCCCTCCTTGACTGGTTCAGAAACTGAATCCATGCGTGTAGGCTGGTGCGGCTTCACCAACCTCTTATAGCTCTTTTTCTCTTGGGTCAGTTTCCACAATTTCTCACGGCGCTCCGCCATGTTACCTGCAAAAACAAAAACAGTATCCTCGGGTCAGCCTCGTCGAGAAAACAAAAGAAGTCAAGAAATAAGAATATAGTAAAATCAAGCGAGCATAAACCTAAGAGATTCACGGCTTGCCCATAAGAACGACACTCGAGGAGCGCCTTGGTGTTGATCGGGCGCGCTTCGAACGTCGGCTCACCATCTTAATCGAGGATGTCATGGCCTTCCCTCGTGACCCACCTGGCGGGGAAGAACCCGTCGACGAACCGATTAAGGACGCGATAGGCCTCTTCGTCCTCAACGCTCATGCCGCCGGCGGGAGCATGGTAATGCCCGAGACCATGATCGTAGTGGCCCGAACACCAATGGATGGGAAACTTCGAGAGTCGCCCAATCTCCGGTTTGCCATCCGCATCATAGCACGGTTCACCGTCTTCATCCACAACGGAAACCGGGTCGAACACGGCATCCACGACTGTCTGAGAAGAAGGTTGCACGACATACCATCTGTCTTTGAAGTCGCGCACAGAGTCCATGTACATCCTGAACAGCCTCTTCGACTGTCTGAGGGAGACCCAACTGTGTTTTCCACCCCAGAACTGCCGTTGTAGATGAAAAACCCTGAAGAACAGGGGAATGGTCGCCCCGTTCTTTAGGAACCGCAAGTAATCTCAAATGTCTGGATGAAGGCAATGGCGTTGGGGTGAAGCTGAGAGGATGCTAGGTTCAGGTGATTGAACACCCCATCTGGAAATCGTTGAAGGGAAGACGAAGTCCCAAGTCTTTGAAAACGACCTCGTACATGGGGAAGCGGTCTTCCTCGAACTTCGAGCATATTCGAGCGGTGGGCGTCGGTCGCAAAATCATGTAGTTCCTTTGAAAACTTTCCTGATCGCCGCCATACTCAACGACACTATAAGCCTGCCTCCTACTATAATTGTATATCGAGGCTATTCCTCGAGGCTCTGCCCCGACCCAAGCCAATGCAGGATCATCGATCGTGTTAACCAAGTTGACACCCTCCTCGGCTACGCTGGTCTCTTCGGCGTTCATTTGCTCGGACGATTCGGGAGTGTCGGCCATTTTACCTGTAAAGCAGAGGAAACCGGTGAGTTCGACTGCAAATCCAGATCCATCCTTCCACGACGCAGGTGAAAGAGTTATGCGGCGCCCAGACCAAGTCGACAGTCACTCGTGCAGAAGGGGAAATACACGGTCCTCGATCAATGCATTAAAATCATGTCAGTCTTATAAGACCACACATCGGTTATAACGACGAATGCTTGTTTTCATGAACACTCCAGGCACATGATGAATACAGCGAGCAAAGTATGAATTTTCCGGTCAAACTCATGAATTTGTCAGGGATTGCATAAATTTCTTGTGTAAAATTCATGAATTTCGCGGGGACGTATGGAGACCACGGGGTAAATTCATCTAAGTGTCGGTGAAAAGATGAATATCGCAGGCTCAATCACGAATAGTACGCATGAATACCCTGAGTAAAACCCCCCAGTTGCGAAATTCTACAACTAAAGCATCATCAAAGCCAATCTAAACAAAGAGTATCACGAAAAATACTTACTTGGACAAGAGTAGATGAAGAATAATTAGGGTAGATGATGAACACGCGACGGATTCTGCGGGGGCGTTAGTGGTTGAAGAAAACGGCACGGTGTTGGCAATAGGGAGAGTGAAAAGCGCAAGAATGTAAATGTGAATAATGGGCCTTGGGGCGCTATATATAGAGCTGACGTGGAATGCGAAACGTCGCGTCGGGCAGCTCACCAACCGCCCTTCTCCTCGACATCTACGCGCTCAGTTAATGATGGCCCCTACTCTCTAGACCATCATTACAATCCCAAAGGTCACGCCACGTGTCTACACCCCGCAGGCTTTCCTCTCCCCGCGAGTCGAGGAACAACTAGAACGATTCCATCTCGAATCCATTCCGAAAGCTGCTCGAGTAAACCCACGTACCGACGACCTTCTCCGTCAACACAACGAAAGATCCTCGTCGAGTGATGCACCTCGTAAAAGAAAAAACTGGACTTAAGTCATAACTCCTTCATCAAGAGCAACGACTTGGGGGCTCCTGTTCTGGACTGGGCCTGCCCTTGGCCTAACTCCATGTGAGGCCCAACCCAATTATGCCGGTCAAGGCATGCCGGCCAGTTCTTCCCTCGAGTGCGTCGGGCAGCAACTTCAACTCTCCGCAAGGAGGCAGTCTCACCACATGGAAATAAATCCAGTTAGTCGTAGGAAGATCATCGTCGGTCAGGAGGACCTTGAGGTCACCCTCCAATCCTCTCCTAGACCAAGACTGATCCTCCCACACGACCTAGCGTCTGGCGGGGAACATCCACGACGAGCAGAAGCGCCCCACGAGTATCCTCCTCGTAGGGCTGACTATCAACGTCTCCGAATATCACGGAGTCTTCGTGGCCCCGGAAAGACCGCATCCATATCTTCCTGATCGTGCGGAGGAAGTCATCCAAGTGAGAGACCACGTGCTGGTCCCCACTACTCACGTAGGACCTGGCAGTCTCCACTTTGGGCCTGCTTGACCACTCCAATGAGGAGACCTTGGCCCAGCGCTGGGGGTTATAAATACCCTCTCTCTTGAGAGGGTCAGGTATTGAACATTTCTTACTCACTCTTGTTTGCTAGCTCATGCCGAATCTCATTTTGGCATCGGAGTGTCTTGCAGGTACCCCCACCTCACTCTCAAGTTCAGCTCGACGTAAGCTGTGATGGATTCTGGTCAAGTACGATCAAAAATGAATCGTGGAAAAGGCTAAATTAGCAAAATCTGTTGCACATCTTTTAACCAAGTTTTGCTGAAAACTTCCTTATGGCTGATTTAACACTTGGTATACCCTGAACTGGTTTGAACCTAGATTTTTCAACTCTCATGGTCTATATTTTGGAGAAAGTCATTCAAAGTTATGCAACTGTATGGGTCAAAGTATGATATTTATCTGTGTATGGCATATAGCTCATTGCTTGAGTTCGTTTTATTTTGCAGGCCATGGTTGCTCGGGGGGACCTTGGAGCTGAACTTCCGATAGAAGAAGTTCCTTTATTGCAGGTAATCTCATTCTCAAAACATGATATGTATTTTATAGTGACATGTATATAGATTCTTTCGTTAGACAATCTACAAAATATGTTTGATAAACAATGTTTTTGTACATTTGTTTATGGATTCAATATCTTTGCGTTTGTCAGGAAAAAATCTAATAAAACAGTAATTTACGTAGCTGTTCTAAATTTCACTTTGTAGTCTCCCTCCCTCTCATAAGTGTTGTTTAAGGTAACACACTTGTTAAGAAAGTTATTAGTTATGTTGATTTCTGTAGTAAACTACTGTGTTGATTAAAATACCTTTATAAAAGAGTGAAAAAACATTACATAAAATGGAGTTTTTTGAGAGTAGAAGTAGCTAGGTGGATAGAGTATTTAAATAAATGAGGTATTGCAGAAGATAATAAACATTGTCTTGGTGTTTCGAAGTAACTAAGAATTTGAGACAGGAGAAATATTCCAAATAGGACACTTATAATGAAACCTATGGAGTATCATATTGATGTCTGTAGTTGTGTGAACCAATTTTGGGAAAAGCCCTTCTCTACTACTTGTATAGCTGTCACACTACAAAATTTAATGATGTTCTAGAAAGCGGTGAACAAACTATGGCCTGTCTCTGTCTGTGTAAGTGGTGGTTTTTCTAACTTCGAAACAGTAAAAAATGTTTATGAAATTGAATGTCTTTGGTTGTTTAGAATCCATGTAAAATTTTACATGAAACTTATATTTTCTGTTTCTCCTATCTGTATAATAATTTTGCGATGTCAAGTCTGCATAAGTGAGCTGTTTCATTTAATAGTTCTTTTATACATCTTTTCACTGTTATGTAGGAAGTAGGATTGTGTTTAACTCCATGCTCTATGTAGTTCATTCCCATTTTTAATAAAACAGGAGGACATCATTAGAAGATGTAACAGAATGCAAAAGCCAGTTATTGTGGCTACAAATATGCTTGAAAGCATGATTATACATCCCACACCAACTAGAGCGGAAGTCTCAGACATTGCCATTGCAGTAAGACAAGGTGCCGATGCTGTCATGCTTTCAGGAGAAACTGCACATGGAAAGTGTGTTTGCTGTTCCTTGGTGATCTTGGTTCTTCTTTATTTTATCAGTTCAAACCTTTACTTAAATTTCAATTTTACTGTTTGTAATGCAAAAGAAATACTACTATTTTAAAAGAGGATTAAAACTGCTTCAGATATCCATTGAAATCTGTTAAAGTTATGCATGCGGTGGCTCTGAGGAATGAATCCAATGTTTTTAGAAGTGTTGCTTATCCAAATCATTTGAGTTTCCACAAGGTACGTCGTTCGGAAATAAGCCTCCTTGTGACTTACATAGTTACATATCCAGTTATAAAGTTTTGTTTCACGTGCAAAAGAATGTAGAAGATTTACTGCCATAGATTTGATTGATAATTAATATCCTAGAACCTAATTGATCTGTGTTTACATTTTGACAGAGTCATATGGGAGAAATGTTTGCTTTCCATGCAACAACTATGTCTAACACTCTTAATACTCCTATTATCGTGTTCACTAGAACTGGATCCATGGCTATTCTTTTGAGCCATTATAGGCCCAACTCAACAATATTTGCATTCACAAATGAGTGAGTAGTAGCAGCGAGTATGTTTCATGTTATGCTTTTCTATCGATCTTATATGTATCGAACCAGAAAAATAAACTTTAGTTGATGAACTTATCCTTGCTATGTTTTTACGAAGAACAGTACTTGTTATGGTTTTGAAAATGAATAGCAAACTTTCCAGGCTTGATCATTTGTATATTATCTTGAGGTAATAGGTGCTTAAGTAAGCATTCTTTTGCATCTATAACTTCTTATTTTACTATTACAGAGGAAGGATTAAGCAGAGGTTGGGACTTTATCATGGTGTTATGCCTATATACATGCAATTTTCAAATGATTCAGAGGAGACTTTTGCTAGAGCCCTCAAGCTACTATTGGTGAGTGATATCTCGATCGATTGCACACCCCATCCTTTTTTATGAATATTCGTTTAAATGTTGCTGAAAGACTTCATGCTGCAGAGTAAAGGTCATTTACAAGAGGGACAATATGTTACACTTGTTCAAAGCGGAGCACAACCAATCTGGCGTAACAAATCCATTCATCACATTCAAGTTCGCGAGGTTCATGGATAAAATTCTTCTGTAAAGGGCCTTTCTTTCTCACGAGTATGCAATAGCCTTTTCTTTTCTCGCTCACTTGTAATTAAGTCTTGCTATGAATTGTAACTTTTATTGCTATGCATGTGAAGCAGCTAGTTGAATAATTTATAAGCTTCTGTAATGCAAATAATGATTTGTGGAGCAAACTTTCACTGAATATTGTTTGTTAAGTCCACTGTTTAGTACTACAAATTCCTATGTTGTTTTGCTTTTGGGGAATTGTTGGCACCTTTGAGTGCATTTAGTATATTTCTTAAATCACGTGTTTATGTTATCCTTTTTGCAAGTGATCTTATACTGAAGTTATTCTATCAAATATAATGCAAGCATTATAATTTAGTTAGTGCCTTATTTTGTTCTTCCTAAGTGATGTTATGCAGGATTCTTTGCCAGTCCACAATACTGTAGGAATGACTTTGGTATGCTGCTAACAATTCTGATGCATTAAGAAGACATCACAGTTGGAAATCCAAACAACATATTTAACTCATTATTTATTAATGGAACTTACAAATGGGAAAGAAGGAAGGTTTCTTGGGACCCTAAAACAGTCATTGTCTCATTGAGGTTTAGTTAACACAACTAGGCTTGAAGAACATACACTGAAAATCCAGATGTGCCCTAAATACAAATTAAAGTTGGAAGAGAATCAGAGACTCGTGTAAGAAGGGCTTTCTTTCTGCAAACCTGCAAAGCATTTCTTCCAATGGAACATATGATCAAGATTATTTCTACCAGTTGCTCCTTCTTTCTCTTATTAGCATTGCCTAAGAGTTATGCATCATGCGAATTAGACTGTGAAGCTACTTGGCTCATCATTTTCTTTGGGTTTCTCGCCCAGCTGTATACTCTTGTACCATTTTGCACATGCAATATAGGCGATCAAGTCCATCGATGTCAAGGCTGCTAAGAGGAAGTAAAACCTATCTAGATGGCCTTTATTGAGGTTCCCGGGGATCCACCCTGGCATGTGATCCTCGGTAGATATCTTCATAACTATACTGACAAGTAAGCTACTAACATAGTTTCCAAGGGAAATGGATGTCATGCAAAGTGCACTTCCGAAACTCTTTAAACCATCTGGTGTCTGAGCATTGAAGAACTCTAACTGTCCTACATACATAAACACCTCAGAAGCTCCTATAAATGTGTACTGAGGGATTTGCCAGAAGATGCTCAAAGTACTCGACTCTTTGCAGTGGGTGCATGTTTGGTCTGCATGCTTAAGCCTATAGCATTCAACTATTCCAGCTGAAAGCATTGCTATCACAGCTATAACAAGTCCAACTCCCATTCTCTGAAGCTCGGTAAGACCCTTAGAATCTGACTTTTTAAGCTTTCCCACAAATGGATCAAGAATTCGACGATAAAAGAAAATGAAGACAGCCACACTGACAATATCAAAGCTAGACATGCTAGCCGGTGGTACTTTGAAATTGGAAACAGTAGTTTTCATGGCAGCCCCTTGCTCCACAAAAAGAGAAGCCATTTGTGTGAAAACCACCGAGTATATTATGGTGCAGAGCCAAATTGGAAGAAGTCTCAGTATGCACTTCACTTCTTCAACTTGACTAACAGGACAGAGACGCCATGGATTGTAACTTGCGGATTTCTGGTTATCAAGATCTCTTGAAGATATAAACGCTGCCCTATCCAAGAACCTTCACAAAAAAAAGAAGGAATGTTGATCAATTCGTTTTAGTTTTACTAGAATCAAGAATGGCCAATAATGCTGAAAAATCAATTTTGTTTACTAAGTAACAAAGTTGGCTAAATATTAAGGGAGAAGCATTTCATGCTCACAGCCCCGGATATACACTTAGCTACATATGAAAGTATTTTTGTCGCAGCTGAAGGTAGCTTCTACTACTTACTTGAACCCGTGAGTATGGAGGATTTTTCTGTTCATATTGGCGGATGACTCCTTTGTATCCATGTTATACAAATCCTCCCCATTTGATGGCATTTGAACTTTCACTTTCCTTGACGCGGCCACAAGGACTTGGCAAAACCTGGCAAGAGGGTTGCCACTAGGCTTGAAATGTCGGTACCTCGGTGTGCCTACTAGAAACAGTATCAGTGCAGCAAAGGCAGAGCCTGCAGACAGCCAGAAACCAAGAGCCCACATTCCTTCATCCTCAAAATAGACCAGAATGGTGTTTGAAAAGAGCTGCCCAAAGTTCAAAGCTAGGTAGAAGTAGCTGAAGAAGGCCACTTTATTGTGACCCTCTCTCGAATGCTCCTCGTCAAACTGATCAGCGCCGAAAGTAGCAATATTTGGCTGATAACCTCCATTCCCTAAGGCAATGAGATAGATCGAAAGGTTGAACATCACCATCTCCAAATTTGAATGTTTTCCACACGGAATCAATTCATTCCCACAACCTCTTGGTTTAATCAAGAAGAGGTACGATGACAGTGATAAGGACATTAGACCCTGTCATATATATTGATCAGTCAAGGAAATAATGTATCATCTAGAAACAAAAGATAGTATGGAGATGAAAAATGAGAGAAAATCCAAGGAACTACTTACTATTACAAAAATGACTTGAAAGACAGCACATGTTTTATATCTTCCCCAATAAGAGTCACTAAGGAAAGCTCCCACAAGCGAAAAGATGTAAACCGTTCCAGTCCATTTGCTCACGTTATTGGCGGCTTCTGCATTATTTTGTCCTACCACCCTTGTCAGGAATACCACTAGGTTCACTCCAATCCCAAAGAAGGCCAGAGTTGCCAGACATTGGTTCACTGATCAACCGATACAATGAATAACAAAACAAACAGCATTAGCAACATGTTCTTAATACTATGTTGAATCGAGCAGATTAAATACATCTACATGCATTATGTTCTGTTTTCATGTTCAAGTATTAATCTATGTGTTTATGTTCTTAATTTGGATTCTGTTTTTATGCAGAATGAAAGACATCTATACAAGGAAGCAAATATCAGTTAAGAATTAAGATCATTTACTTGAGTTTCTTTTTCAAATACTTTATAGCATAACAATATATTTCTATAAAAACAATAATCATACTTATTATAATTTGAGAAAATAGGAAATACACTTTTACACCATCATCCAACGAACAATTTCTTTACAGTTAAACTCTTATAATTTTAACACACAAGGTGTTAAAACAAGTTTATTTTGTAATATATTGTTAGGTATGCTTAGGTTTGCCTTTATTATATAAGTACAACAAACACCCTCTTGTTAATGGTTTCACATTTGAGATAACACTTCTGAAAAGCAAGTTTTGTGGAAAGTAATTATTCTATAAATTTAACTACTTTTTTCCTCAATAACTAGTTAGCTATAACTTATAAGTATATATACTTTCCTCTTCTAAAAAAAAACTATATACTATATACTTACCTATCATTATCTTTTTAAGGAAGTAAATACTAAAAATACAAAAATTTACTAAAATTAATTTTTTTAATTCGAAGAAGAGGTAATTACTATTAGAAATTCACAACACTTATTAGAGTTCCAATTTTGGTAACTTAACAATATCGAATTTTGGCCAATTGAAATAGGATTTGCAGACAATTGTATTGTTTATTATTAGATTGGTTGCATGTCAATTGTCCATGACACATGTCATCCACCTAAGTAGTGCAAAATACTATCATTCATTACGTGTCATAAACATATTTCTAAGAATTGCATGCTTCATTTATTCATTTTGTCTTTTCTAAGTTACCAAAATTTCAGGCCTCTTGTCTTTTACAGTTCACACCCAGCCAAAACCCTCTTACAACATTCACAGACTCTTCTTTCTTTTTAATTATAAAACATTAGTAACTACTTACAAAATCAATTATAAAATAAGTGATGATAAAAAAAAATAGTAAGATTTTTGCATGTGAATTCGGTGGCACTTGCACAATCTTCCTTCATACAGTATTGTATGCAACAAGCTGACAAAAAATGTTACATAGGAATTTGTACGAAAACTTTTCGTTTTTTCATTTCAACAACACAACACAAAAAGAAACTTCAACTTTCATTTACAACTCTTTATGATAAGCTATCTCAAATTTTATATACGCAAACAAGGTAAAATTTCTTTATAACTAACTAACAAGGTTTCTCAAACTTCTACGGCACCAAAACCAATGACTCTCTCTCTCTCTCTCCAGCTATCATAAACTATACGTATACGCATCATATATATATATATATATATATATATATATATATATATATATATATATATATATATATATATATATATATATATATATATATATATATATATATATATATATATATATATATATATATATATATATATATATATATATATATATATATATGTATTTGCATGTGTACTTTTTTCCTCAAATTCTTGGGAATCAATAAGCTTATAGAACAAGATTATTCACAATCTATAGTAATATTGTGTATATCTTGTTGATGAATGAATATTCAATTGTTTTTCAAAGAAAAATGAATATAAGATATGCTTATATATATGTATCATTTGCATTATATGGAAACTAGAATTCTTTTGTAACTTGAGTTATATAATTCAATCACATTTAATATATTGTGATAAGGTTACATTTAACATGTTGTTATAAGGTTCGAATCTGACTTGTACTTTGTCTTATAATTCAGTTACATTTAATATGTTATAATATGGTTGGAATCTGCAATATTTCATTTATATGATGGTGAGTTTTACCATATAAATAGTAAGATAAAATATGTTTAAAGAAAAAGCTTTGCAATTTATGTTTGTGGAGCTTACAGAGTATGATGGTTGCAGCACTCCATCTTCCAGATTTGGCTCTGATTGCTGGACGGCCATAGAAATTAACACTTCCATCAAGAGTCAACTCTTGTGATTCTGATTCGAATTTTGAGTCTTCTTTGAACTTGTTCTGCAAACAGATTTTGGAAACAAATGGTTACATCCATTGTTGGTGACACATATTTATGCATGTTCAAAAAATGCATTTAGTAACAAAAACAACAAAGGGTGTTGTAATTCACATGTATACATGTGAATAAGTATATAGAATGTTTATTTGGAAATGGAATATTTATATTTATTCAGACTAACCTCTTTAGAGAGTTCTAACTCTAAGCAAGACATTGTTGAAGTGAAAGAAGAATGTGAAATAATGGGTTGGTAGGAATTGCAGGGAGGATAGTGTTCTGTATAGGAGAGGAAAGTGAAGGGTGAAGAAGAGAAGAACAAATAAATGTTAAGGAGGAGAGTGGGAGTGATATTGAATAAATAGAGGAAGGGTGCGTGGCATCAACGGTGTAGATTTTAGGGTCCACATGGCATTATCATCCAAAAGTACCTAAATTGCATCACAATAAAGTTTAATAAAATATCATACCTTAGGTTCAATGGAAAAATATCTTTATGTTTAAAATTACGAACTTCTAACTAGTCTTTAAATATTGGACCGGTTATTAAATTGACGAGAGTATTGAATTAATGATTTATTCGTCAAACTATTGTATTATTGGTTGAATCGCATGACTAAAACAGATTAAATTGGATAATTCACTTGAATAAAATTGTCTCTATATCAAAATTATATAATTATTAAATCAATCGAATCAAATGATTCATTTTCAAAAATATTATGATCTCAATAAAATTTCAAAATTTCAAAATATTATAATTTTTTAAATTCAAGTTCTAAATATAATCATAACACACAACAAAATCATACAAAATATAAATTAAAATAAATTTTGAACAAAATTTAATTACAATATAAACTGAATTACAAAATAATGTCTAACAAATTTAATTTTAAGGAGGGAAAATTGTTCTTTGAACAAAATATAATTATATTTTATTTTTTAAAATTATAAAAACAACATCATTTCATCTGAGAAAAAAATTAGGAATTAAATTATTGATTTTTTAAAATTGTCAGTTTTTTGATTTTTAGTGATTTTGATCAGTTCTAGTCGATTTATATCGGTTCAATAGCTTATCCGATTTAGTAATCAGATCAGTGACCCCTTTGATTTTCGATTCGATCGGTGAATTCGGTCTGATTTTTAAAATATTGATTTTAGCTCAATAAGTAAGGGTGTTATCAGACAGTTTGGTTCGATTTCAAAAAAATTCGATATTTAAATCAATAAAAAATATATGAATTGATTTGAATTGAATTTACGTATTTTTACAATAAAGTCTAAATTTGAACCAAACCAAAAAAACAAACTGGTTTGTATTAGATTGATAAAATACATTAAAAACAAAAGTACATAATTGTTTTCAAAAATATTTAATCTACATAAACTTATTTTCTATAATAATCAAAATCTTTTTTTTCTTCCGTTTTTTCATATAAATTGTGAATGTCATAAATAATGTTCAATTTTTTTAATTTTTTATAATTGAATATCTTATATTTTAATTTTTATAATAATTATAATATAAATTATACAAATTAATTATGATTGATTCAATTTGATAAACTCAATTTTAAAAATCTATTGTTTGAATCAATAAACATCAGATTTCATTGATTTAATTTAACTTTTATCCAAATTAAAAGAAATATCTTATCTTAACACTTAAATTTATCAAATGAATCTTTGTCTATGAATTTCTTCCCAGTTGCAACCCTATCTGCTCAACTGGTATCCGCTCAAATTAACCTATTCATCACAAACTAACTCTTATTCATCACTAATTTAATTGATAATGATCTCATTTAATTATTAAGTTTTTTATTCCAGAAATAGGTAGAAATAAAAATGCAGTACAAACACACGTATCATATACCTAATCTTTCTACCCCTTTCAATATATGATAAATTTTAAAAAAATTCAATTACAGGGACAGTAATGTGTTTGAGAGAAAAAATCCATACAAATTACAATAATAGTTTTCACGGCAACAATATGAAAAAACAATAAAAAGACGTTTTTATCTTTTGGGTTTATTTTTCTAGTTCCATTAAATAGTTTTTACTCCAAAAAAAAAATTAGACGGTGAAATTCCACCATTAAAAGTTATTGGAGTAGATACATTATTTTAACGAAGGAGAAAATACAGTTGCAAGTGAGAAGAAATTTATAAAAAAAGATTGTTTATGCAATAATATAGGTGTTTTTTTTTCTCTCGATCAAATTTGATCGTACCTGACCATAATGGATCGTCAAAGCCTACGAGTTGTGAGTTGAGTAGCAATTGAAAATGAGTTGGGAGTACATGCAAGACACTCTGATGCCAAAGTAAGGTTCAGAGCAGTGCTAGCAAATATGAGAGTGAGTATGAAAGAATGAATCCATGACTCTCTCAAGTGAGAGGGTATTTATAACCCCCAGCACTGAGCCAAGCTCCCAATTGTTAGGCTGAGCAAACATGCCCAAAATGGAGACTGCCAGGTTCTACGTGCGTAGTGGGATCAACACGTGGTCCCCAACCTGGATGGACTCCCCCGAATAGCCAGGAGGATATGGATGCGGTCTTTCTGGGACCAAGAGGACTCCGTGATATTCGGGGGGCGTTGAGAGTCAACCCTACGAGGAGGATGCTCGCGATGTTCTTCTGTTTGTCGTGGGCCCTCCCCGCCAGCTCTGAGGTTGTCCAGGAGGGTCTGTCTTGGTCGACGAGAAGAGTGAAGGGTGCTCGCGAGGTCCTCCTGGCTGGCGATGAGCCTCCTTGCGATTCTTGAATTTATCCCCGTATGACGAAACCGCATTTTCTCGAAGGGTGAGGTTGTTGCCCGACATACTTGACGACAGGCTTGATCAGCAAGCCTCCTTGAGCAGCATAGTTGGACTGAGCCTTGTACGAAGTTGGGTCAAGTGTAGACCCAGTCCAGAACAGGAGCCACCCAAATCGTTTCTCCTGATGAAGGAGTTATGACTTAAGTCCAATTTCTCTTATAGCGAGCATAATTTCGTCGGGGATCTTTTACTGTATCGAGAGAGAGGGTCGTTAGGATGCACGATTGCTCGAGCAGAGGTTGGAATTGGTTTGATGGGGAACGTTTCAGTTGATGCTCGACTCGCAGGGAGAGGAAACTTCACAGGGATGTGGGCACGTGGCGTGACTTTTGAGATAGTAATGATGATCTAGGGAGTAGGGGTCATTATTACCTGAGCGTGTAGGAGGCGAAGAGGAGGGCGGTCGATGGGCTTCCTGATGCGATGCTTCGTATTCCACGTCAGCCCTACATATAGTGCTTATGGCCCATTTCCACTTTTCGCTCTCTCCACAACTGCCGCCTTTACCGTTTCTCTGTCTTCTCACCATCAACGCCGCTGTAAGATCTACCATGGATTCTCCACCTACTCTGATCAAGTAAGTGTTTTTTGTACTGAATGTTGTTTACGATTAGCTTTATTGATGATTCTTTATAGAATTTCGCTACCGGGGAGGAGGGGGGGGGGGGGGGGGGGGGTGCTCGGGGTGTTCATACATTCATGCGTAATATTTGCGAGTGGGCTCGTGATATTCATTTCTTCTCCGCAAAACTCACGAGTTTACCCGTGGCATTCATCCATTCTCTACGAAATTCGTGAATTCTGCCCAAGGAATTTATATACTCCCCGGTGAATTTATGAATTTTTCCGGAAAATTCGTATGTTCCTTGCGGCATTCATGGATATGCTCGTGATATTTGTCTTGTGCCCGCGTTACACGTGAAATATGCGTTTTGTTATTATCATCGTTGTGCGGTCTTACGAGATTTGCATAAGTTCCATGTGTTGATCGTGGGTCGTGTATGTTCCCCACTGCACAAGTGATCGTCGACCTAGTCTTGGCGCATCTATCCCCTTTCACCTGTGCTACGGTGGAAGGGTGAATGTGATTTTTCTGTCGAATTCACTGCTTTCCTCTGCTTTACAGGTGAAATAGTCGATACCCCTGAGTCATTCGAGCACATAGATGTCGAAGAGACAAGCACAGCCGAGGAGGGGCTCCATTTGGTCGACACGGTCAATGACCCTGCGCTGTCCTAGGTCGATCCAAAGCCTCGAGGGATAGCTTTGGTCTATAGTTATAGCAGAAGAGAAGCATATACCGTTGTCGAGCATGGCGGAGATATGGAAGGTTTTCATTGGAACTTCACGATCTTGTGACCGACTCCCACGGCCAGGATATGCACGGAATTCGAGGAGGGTTGTTCACTATGTATGAGGTTGTCTTCAAAGATTTGGGGCTTCGTCTGCCCTTTAATGATTTCCAGATGGGTTTGTTTAACCACTTGAACCTGACACCCTCTCAATTACACCCTAATGCGGCTGCCTTCATCCGAACTTTTGAAATCACTTGCTGGTTCCTGAGGATCAGGGCAACCATTCCTTTTTTCTTCAGGGTTTTCCATCTCCAACGACAATATAGGGGTGGGAAACATAGCTGGTTTTCTTTGAAACAGTCGAAGAGATTGTTTAGGATGTATATGGATTATGTTCGTGACTTTAAGGATAGATGGTACGTCGTGCAACCTTCGTTGCAGGCGGCCTTGGATGCTATGTTCGACCCGGTTCAAATAGTAGATGAAGACAGGGAGGTATGCTACAACGGGGAGGGAAATCATAGATTGGGCGACTTTTGAAATTCCCTATCCACTGGTGTTCGGGACACTACAAGCATAGTTCTGGCCATTACCATACTCCTGGCGGCAGTATGAGTACCCTAAACCCTAAACCCTAAACCCTAAACCCTAAACCCTAAACCCTAAACCCCTTCGGTGTTCTAAATCGATTTGTTGACGGGTTCTTTCCCTCAAGGTGGGTCACGAGGGAAGGACATGTCATCCTTGACAAAGATGGCGAACCAACGTTCGAGGCACGCCCAATCAACACAAAGGCGCTCGTTGAGTGTCGCACCTTCGGGCAATCCGTGAACCTTCTAGGTTTCCGCTTGCGTGATTTATTGTATTTTTACTTCTTGAGCTATTTGTTTATGTCCTTCTCGCGAAGCTAACCCGAGGATATTGTTTTTGTTTTTGCAGGTGACATGGCAGAGCATCGTAAACGACTATTGAAGCTGACCTAGGAAAAGAAGAACCACAAGAGGTTGGTGAAGCTGCACTAGCCCACACGCATTGGTTCTGTCTTAGAGCCGGCCAGGGATGGTTCGAGTGGGTCATCAGGTCCCCGCG